GGCCTTAGCTTTCCTAGTTGCCTCCCTACAATATGTATCATTAATTCATTTCTAATTGCTTCTGTGTGTACCAGTCTTTGAGAAAAGGAAGAATTACTTCCCTAGTCATGAATATGAGTAACTAGGTTGAATTGTAACATTAATATGGACAGAGATTACTGGCATGCATGAGTTGATATTAACAATGCACTGAAAATGTAAAAGTAAATGGAACACTGGTAAATAATAATGTCCTGGAGAAATCTATGCATCTCCAAGTAAAAATAACAAAGAGACAAATTCTGCCTGATTCCCATTTAATTTTACTTTTAGCCTCTGCATTATTTAAACTCAAGCTAAAAGCTGCAAGATCAGCCCATTTAGTTCTTGCATATTCTATAATTATTAAGGATTACCTTTTACTATCAACTGCAGGCTTGGAGCTGTTTAAAAGAGGTCAGCAGTGCTGTCTAATGTAATGCATTTTCTTTCTACAAGTGAGCAGGAGTCATAACTCCTCTTAAGGTTCTGGATTTTAAAATTTATAAGCTACTCCCTCAGCTTAGGAAATTGTACCACTCTCCATTGTTAATCATTCTTAAAGGATGAATAGGCATGCAGTCACTCTGTAGGTCTCTTTCATTTTCAGTTAGATTTGTCACGCTGTTTTTCAGTGACACTTAGTGCTGAGGGTGTGGGACTTCAGTGTCTGCTCATGAGCTTCATAAGTGTCTTTTATGAAGAGCAGGAGAACGTGTAGTGATACTTAACCAATTGCCTATGTTCTTTTTCCTTTAGGAATGATTGCCATTAGCAGAATGGCAGTGCTGTATCCCCAAGTTATAGTTGATCATCCCTTTTTCTTTTTGGTCAGAAACAGAAGAACAGGTGAGAATATTGCAGATTCTTCCACATTTTTCACAGTACATCATCAAATATACAAAAAAAGATTACGTGTTTTGATCAATGAACTAGCCTTGGATTATGAATTTTACTTAATTTCCCTTAACATACTAAATATTGAAAGACTGACCTTTTCTATGTCCCCTTAATGTTTCTTCAAGTAAGACACCAAAATCTGACATAATCCTGAAAAATAGCCACAATTACTTGATTTGAAACCCCAGGGAAGAAAAAAAATCACCATTTTTCTTCAGAGAACATAGTGTTACTGCCCTGAATATCCATAATCATTGTATTCCATAAGAGCTTGGCTGTAGTAAGACCAGTGAGATATGTTCCTGGTACCAAATGATTTGCATAATGGGCAGAAATTGCAGCTATGAATAATTCTGTTGTGCTCTTTAAGTGTTTTGTGGCAGGCAAGGGATGAGAACGGCACTCACGAGCGAAATGGGCAATGATAAGTAATTCCTTAGTTTCATATTTGCAATTTGTCTTAATGATATGGATGTAACTGAGTGATAAAACATTACTATACACCCACAGGTTCTGTTTAACAGGGTTTTGGGGTTTTTTTTTTCCTGTATTTGAGATCCTCTTTGTAGGTA